TTGGTACACTGTAAATTTGCATCGTCAAATGTAATACAAAGTTTGGTATGGGGTCATAAATTTGGTTCAAATGAACATATTGGAAGCACATGCGATCCTACAATATTCAGTGATTTTTGCATAGCTCCCTCTCAAGGTCAAGATATTAATTAAGCTATAAAACAATGTTTCTTTACTAAAATCGACCGATTAGCTATTCCCGTTTGGAAATTAGATATCACATTTATATATTCTGAAATTTTCGCTTTTTGAAATTTATTAACATTTTACGGGAGCACCGGTGAATTTTTTTATTCAATTTTTCTCTTAAGCGGAAGTATTTTAGGGACTAAATTTTCTAGTGCTTATTATACATCCACAGGGGCATCCAAATACCTGTATATCAAAATTGTAAAGAATCCCTATCCACCCAATTTTCAAAATTTCCAAACAAATTGTATTACGTTCAACTTCAATTTCTGAGCATGATCTTACTACTAAAAATGTGTCCTAAATTGCCTTCTTTGCACTGAGTGATAGAAAGAAAATGCCTTATGGCCTTATTATGGAGACTGTATCAATATTGTCTCAAAAACGGACTTTCGACTGTGTATCAAGCACTAAATATAGCTACATTGTAACCCTGAGTATTTGTGTAGGCAAACGTATGTGTGCAGGTGCGGATCCACGGGGGGGGGGGGGGGGCAGACGGGCCAGGCCCCTGACCCCCCCCCCCTCAAACAGAAAAAAAATTGGAAAAAAGAAAAAGAGTGCCCGCTTATTCACCAGATGGCTGAGTCGCCGCTAAATATTTCCTCACGCATTCAGTAATCATAATTAATCCTCATTTAGTACCAGCCCAGTCTTAGGATAGTATCGATATACATACATAGCTACTTACATCATTGTCCACAGGTTATGCTTTAGATTAACGAACCCCCTACACACACACACACTCTCTTCGTTCTGCTCCTCCCCCCTCTCTCTCTCCTCTTCCATTCCCCCCTCCACTCCCCATCTCTCTACGCTCCTCCATGCCCTCCATGATCTAATGTATCACATTTTCTCTCTTTCTCCCCCTCTTCCCTCCCATCTTTCTCTGAGTGTCTACCCCTCTCTATCCCCCTCTCTTTCTTTCTCTCTCAGTATCTCCCCTCCGACTCTCTCCTTATGCCATTCCATTATCCATGGGTCACTTGATTTTTAAAACACAGTCAAACCTGAATATAAAAACCGATCAATTGACACAAGGAGAGTGACCATTAGTACAGGTTTAAATTACAGCTTTTTGTTTCAAAGTGAAGCCACGTTAAATGGTAACAACAGAAATCTATAAGCAGCTAGTCTTGTTATACAGGTGTTACCTGAGACAGGGTTGACTGCATTCAAGAAAATGTTAAGAGTGAACTATTTGCCATAATGCGAATTCTCATTCGAGTCGCTAAACCCCCACCCCCTCCCCCACCCTTCCTTAGATTCCCGCCCCCATCATTGAGATCATGCGATTTCCCTCATTCGTGCAATGGGAAAAACTTTTTAAATTCTTTTTTTTTGTTGAAGGGAAATCCAACCGTTATGGCAAACTGCAATAAAAAAAAAGTTAACACAAATCAGAAAACCAAACATTCATTGAATCCCCCCCCCCCGGTCCCCAACAGAAAAAAAATGTTCTGTGAGCCCATGCCTTGAGCCATAATGCATGATCGTACAGAGGATATTTTTATGGTGGAGACCGGGGTAAAATGCAATGAATTATTGAAAATGTATTGCATTTTATTTTTTTATTTATTGGAACTGCTCCCTACCCTAGCCCCCGCTGCGTACAGTCATGGTTCAGTGGCCAAGCAATGGCCTCGTAACTGTGAGGCCCCAGGATCAAAACCGTGTTGATGTGCTACATCAGTGCCCTTTTATGGGGCATTAATCCTCATTACTGTTTAAGGGCGAAGGTCCCGTATTTGATAAGAATAGTAGCATACACGTGCTTTAGAAGTCACGCAAAATAAACACTGGCAAATTATTATTCAATAAAATCTGAGTATGTATACTTTTATCTAGATCTATTAGGAATAAATCATTGTCAAAATAATTCCATAATTGGGGAAAAACAAAGATATTCCAACTATATGAGCTACAGTGTATAAAGAAAACCTACAGTGATACGTGCTTTCCATAATGAACACCATCGCAATTAGTTTTCCAAAAATCAACTCAAGGGTAATTTCAATAATTCTTCGTGTGTTAATCTTTCTTCGTTCTTCTTTTCTTGCCCATAACAATCCAATATTTTACTCAGTAAACATGTGGGATATTTATTACAAGTAGGTGATTTTATGTATTTATGTCATTAAAATCTCCTTTCTAATTCCATTTCCAAATTGTCTATATTCAACTGTAATATTCATAGTTATAGTACTAGTAATCCTCTCATTTTCATTTGCCATTTACTCGTACAGGACTAAACCAAAAAGTAATTATATTTTTCAAGAACCGTTTCCGTGGAACACACTTCCTCATTACATACATATTTCTGCTAGTGTAAATGTATTTAAACGTAGGTATAAGGAATTTCTTTTCGGTAAATTGAAATGAACATTTGAATTAAATACATATTTTGTTTGTTTGTTTTCATGTATGTTTGTTGCTGATTTGTGTATTGTATAATGTCTAGTAACGAATATATTTCATAGTTGGTATTATCAAAAATGGGTCAACCTTTATATAAAGGTTATGTTTCCTTTCAGGTTGCAACATATTCAGTTTATTTAATTTCATTGTCCAATATGTTCCTAATGTCTAGTGGATATGTTATATATCTGATTGTTGTATGTAATGTTGTCTTTTTAACTGGAAGAAATAAAATTAAATTGAATAACCTAATTTTATGTCCCATTAAATAATGTTTGGAATAAGTAATACGGGATTGTTATGTTCGCACGTTTCAATAAGTTAAGCAAAGGCTATTAAAATTGCCTGCTTGTTGACTTTTAGAAAAAAGTTGCTATTGTGTTAATATATTTCATTTAGTGTCCAAAGGGAAAAGGCGCATTTAATAAAAACAGACATTTGCGGTATTGTTGTACTCAACAAACAGGAGAGCTGGCCATAACTAAGTCACAGTCCACTGACCAAATTGCCAATTTAAGATTCGCTTAGATTTAGCCATCACATTTTTCAAACAGTCATAGCTTTTTACCTATTGGTCCGACTTATTTGAAACTTTCGCCGTTCTGTTTGCGTAATTTTGTTCTGTGTTTATACAAACATAATTATTACTAGGGTTGGATTATCCTGCAATAGTTACCAGATATGTTGTCTTGCATTTTGAATCTGCAATTTCATCGAGAATCGAGAGTCAACAAATTGATTAAATTGACTTCACTATTCGTAAAAACCACTTGGTGGTAAAAGTACACAATACAATGGACAAGGAAGTAAAACAAGGTTGAAGTAATTGGTATGTTTAATTAAAAGAAAGGTACAAAAGCGTGAAAACATGTGTAAGAACACATCAGTTTATCTTACTAAACGTCTGTTGAGAGCCGGGAGGACGTTATCTCATATACTATTTTAGCCCGCGCGGCGAACACTACACGATTTTCCTGCGATCTGATTAACATAAAAAGGACGGTTGTATTAGATATGGAAATGTAAAAATGCATGATATTCCTGATTTAAGTTCTAAGGGACGATGAGAATATTACCATCCGGAATTTCAGTGCATTGGTTTCTTCTATTTAGAATAGAAGCCGAATCGGCTTAAGTCGTAGACAATCGTACTACTGGGCCTGATGTAACTACGATTTTCTATGTATCTCATTCTAATTATATCCCTCTGCTCCTCAGAATAGTTTACTAGATCGATGGCGCATAATAAATGCTGTATTATTATTATTTTTTTTTTTTGCCGATTCAGGGCTTTCCCCTCCATTAAGGGAGCATGAAATCTCTTAAAATTTAGATTTTATCAAATAATATTACTTTTCAGATCCTCGGCCATTAAGACTATAAATGTTTGAATGTTTATATAAAAATTATATCACAAATTCTTCCAAAATTGGATCGTAGTCAAAACGTGTAGTGTGCAGCGAGGTTTAGATTGACCTAATGCTCGTATGATAATTTGGTAATCCTAAAGGCATATTGACAGATTTTCAAATAATAACAAAGGTAATGATAACAATATTTGTTTCATTCTTATTAAGATTACACACCTATATTGTGGACTTATAACTGTATATCTACATTGTATTTTTACTTTATAGTTATGAAATAAAAATGAGTCCAGATTTACCACAATTAAAAAATAATAAAAAAGTTATATTATCAGTTTTATCACTTTGGGGGTTTTAATCAACGAAAGGGATACAAATTGTCTTTTTCTCGATGTTATCAGAAAATAACCCCTTTAAAATTACGTTGATGATAATTTAAATTTTGTTTATGCTTTCCGTACTTATGTTTCAGGTAAAAAATGTACTTTTGACAATTCATTTAGCAAAGACTTAAAAGAGAAATCATGATTTTGTAAATATTGTTTAAAGTTCATTCTCTAAGAGAAAGCGTATGTAATTATTTAATGGCACCTTTTCTGCATATTAAGAGTATAAGTCATCTACTGCTACACATTTTCTATTTCATTTTTATTGACTTTCTTCTAGTTGAACTTCCATGCTCAGCCTAAACAAAAAACAAATCGAATAAAACGGAAATGGAATAGAAACCACATAACAGATATAGATTATGCATTACAAAGTTAATAAAAACACACGACTTTAAAAGGTTCACGATCGCAAAGACTTTCAAAAATGTATCCTCAGAGCAAATTCAAAACCCTATTCTGTATGCAAAATTAATCATATTCCCATCATTTAGTGCCTGGGTACATCGTTGCAATGTTCTCACATTTGAATAGTTCATGGAAAAGGCTATTAACATTGCCTTTGGATGTTTTCTCATAAGTCTTTACGATCGTCTTAAACACACTTTTGTAAGAAAGGCTGAGGATTTATATATTTCCACCACAATTCTGAGTATACAATGCATACATATTGGTGTGTACATTTCTCCTATGACCCCGGTCACGTGATGCATATTCTGCATCCTATTGTCTGGCGAGGATGAAGGCAGCCAGCATGGCCACGCCCATAGCAACGAAGCTGGTTGTCACTGTGGTACCTCCATTGCAGAGGTTGGTGGTGCAGCAGTAGAGACCGCTGACCTCAACACAGGCAATCCCACATGTCCGTGCCACTGTTGATCCAGCAACTGTTTTCTAAATGATAAAAGTAATAACAACAACAACATTAGTAGAGATGGTGGAAGTAGTAGTGGTAGTAGAAGTCATGGTATGGGTAATACTACGAGGAAAATATGATGACAATGATACTACTACCATTACTACTACCACTACTATTACTATTAATAATAATAAAAGAACTGATGATAGCAATGATAATGATAATTATAATATATAGTAACAAATGAAATAACCACATTGATGATAATCATTACACAAATAATGATATTAATACTTGTAACATGGATTATATATTTTTTAAGGATAATAATAATGATTATAATTTAATAATAAAATGAAATATTATAATATAATGAAAATTCTTAACTTTGATTATATGATTGCATTGTTTCACAATTCGTATCATAATTACAAATGGTACTTTCATTTATATACAGTATAACACTTGTTGTTTCACCTATTGGACTAGTAGAGCTTGAGCAATTAATTTCAAAGGGACCTCGTGCCCTACAAGTCTTATATAATAGTTGTAATGATAATAATAATAATGATAATTATAATAATAAGAATAATAATAATAATAATAATTAAAATAACACTTATAATAATGAGATTGATGTTGAAAAATGGTATTGATAAGGAGAATAATGATACTTAAAAAAATGGGTGCCATAAAAGTGTGATAAAAAATTCTGCTACTTCTAAGGCATATTTCGAATATGCATTTGAAGATCGTTCCTTTTTAGGAGGCATCTTCTTCAATGATATTCCTCAACAGTACCATCGCAAAAATGAGAAAGCTCACAAGTTAGGTTTCGCCTTTACTAGAATACACCCTTCTCTTCATGGGAGTCATCATTAGAGATATGTTATTTGAGTCAAATAATACTTGACTTTTACCGGAAAGCGAATAATATAAGGAATTAGAGCAAATGATAATCGTCTAGTTAGGTAATTGTCTTACCAAACAATGGGTGTATGTAATCCCAACATTAGGACAAGTGTCTGATACACCTGTAGCAGACGGATCGAAAGGATCACCACAACCCGTGCCGGCACACGTGTAGCAATCAATGGCCCAGGTACCTGTGTTATTAAAGATAATGAACATATCATACATTTTTAAACGGGGTTCTAGAAAAAAGGCAATCAAATTGGTCAATGATGATGCACGGCTAAGGGGTGCGTAGATGGGTATCTCTGAGGCGGTCAAAAATAAGTACCAAGTCATTTGATTTTTTAACCCTTTTTAACCCTTTCAGTGAACTTTATTTCAACATATCTACAATGCTCACAATAACATATATACATATCATATTAAATCATAATGTAAGCATATCAATCAAAGCTTTCACCTGTTTTTCATTTACATTTGCTTTCGTTTTAGAAGTAAAATGTGACATGAATTAATAATTCAAATCAGTGTTAAAAGTTCTACCATTCATTTTGCTAAATTTGATAGATTATAATCCTCACTAACAAACAACAATTTTCGTAGGAAAAGGAAGCCCCAATACTCTTTCCACTGATTCATGATTACATTTCCCAGATGACATACCGGGGTAAAAGATTTCTAATAAACACAGACACCAGTAATGAAGAATTAGATTGTTTTTATAATTTCCGCTAACATTTATCCGCCTACAGCCGGTATATATAAAATTGTTACCGAAATGTAAGTTAAATCTTAAACATATGTTTCTGAAGCTAACGGATTAGCTGAGTAGGGGAAGGGATTATAGTAAATGGGGGAAGAGACGAACGGAATGAGGGAACGGATTAACTAAATAAGGGATGGGCATAAGTAATAAGGGGGGATTCAAAAGTGAATTATGGAAATAGCAAAGGGAATAACTGAATCACGAAATGGATTAAGTTAATAAGTGCGGGGATTGGGAAAAAGGATTAAGCGAAGTCGGGAAGGGATTAAATTAATTAGCAAGATATTAACTGAATAAGGACAAAGTGATTAACTAAATAAGGAAATGGATTACGTTATTAAGGGCAGTTATTGAAGGAAAGGATAAAGTAAATGAGGGACGAAAATTAAATTTCAATACTGAGCGGGTTAAGTTAATAAGGGCAGTGATTAGGTGATAAAGGGGGGGGGGGAAATGAATAAGTGAACGGATTAAGTGAACGGGTAGTTACTTTAGTTGAAAAGGGAGAGGATTGAGTTAATAACGAAATTGATTAATAAGGGCAAAGATCAAGTAACTAAGGGAAAGGATAACTACAAGTAAATAGGCCTCACCTGCGACCATTGAGATCAAAAGAACAGTAACCAAGAATAACTTCATGACTAACTCGTCTGCCTGAACGTAATCTAAATGATAACACAAAAAGAAATGAAATATATGATAATATCAAGTGCATGTTATTTAGACCTACACAGGATAGCTTATTCTAATGATATGTCCATTTATATAGAGCAGGGATACAATTAGGTATCGAAATCAAACTTGAAATAGATTTTTCGAATATATTTGTAATAGTATTCACAAATTTAAATTTTAAATAAATTCAATGAATATGTTTATCCTTCACAAATATAAAATGATCATACCATGATGTTTATATTCATAATTGTATAAAGAAAGAAGGCAAAATTCTCTAAAACCACACAGCTTGGAAAGGAAGAGGGCGAAATAAAAGAAGAGTAAAACCAGTACATTGTTAACAAAATAATACTTTTGATTTAATACAGTTGTACCCAAACAATATATAAAGTTAGGATCATCCAAATTGAATTATTTGCTATATACATAGATACATATACAATTACATCAAGTTTAAGGATTGAATCTGGTGTTGCCGAATCCACTGGCCCATCTCCATGAAATTGGGATCTTGTTCCCTTTCACATTATATTTATAAATATGTGTGTGTGTGTCCTTTTCATCATTTGGTCTAATGTTGGTCAAATGACGTTAGACCATATGATAATTACACCAAATGGCAATAGAAAGCAAAGGCTTTAAGGAGTGCTGTGGTTTACTTGTGAATGCCCGTAACTTTCATACAAAAGGTTCCGGATTCGATCCTATTCTAACACATTTGTCCCTCTCGACCAGAGAATCCTGGATTCACCACTGAAAGTGTGAGTTGCATACATCTTTATCAACCAACATCTTTTCTTATTCTACAGCTACACTAGTGTTTGCAAACGGAAATTAATGCTGTTTCAAGTGTAAGATGCCGCCAAATTTATTTAAGCTCATTTTAATCTAAGCGTAAAAGTGAGAAAAGCACATCAGTGAAAGTTTGAGCAAAATCTGACTACACGTAAACAAAAAGTCGTGATTTCTGTATGGAAGTTTGTATGAATTAAAAAGAATTGACAAGCCAGTTTCTTTTCTTACCATGGGTTTGCGTAAAAACATACATATGTGCAATTGAAATAGTATTTGCTGCTTTGACTATAATTGCTTATTTTCTTTTTAGAAAATATCGAATTTTATGAATTCTTAGTGCATATCCACTTAGAAGAGACCTCGGAAGAAACGTTACAGAGTTTCTAATTTGTGCTTGATCGAATCCAACTTTAAAAATTTATAGGTTTCGTTATTATTACTTTTCCTCATCTCTTCACTGATCCGTTTTTCTGTTTCTATTCTTCTATTAAAACAAAAATCGTTATCAGGGTTGAATTTATCGTTAACTTCGTCTAATGTCATATATTCATTGCCCTCACACTATGAATTAATTACGTCTGGCGAGCCCAAGACCACTCAAGGGAGACAATTAAAAGGAAAGCTTTTCATGAGATGGTGGTCTTTTGGGGCAGCTTCCTTAAATACACGTTTCAATGAGTCACATTGCTTGAGGGAGACAATATGTGGTCTTACTATAAAGGTGGTTACTAAAAAAGGTTTCCTTTTCAAAATCACAATTGGAACTTGTAACTTACAAGCCTAGCTTTAACCATAGGACCCTTCATAGTTAATTACTTAATTAGAACTATATTGGTAGGCCCAAAAGATAAACAATTGAAATAAGTTATGATCATGATAATCTGTTTGCATATATATATATATATATCAAGTAAAAACAAAAAGAAGTTTAACAAGATTATAAATAAGTTAAGAACATATTATGTATTTATGTTAAATATTAAATAATCAAACTTTAAAACAATAAACAAAAGAAAACACACATAATGTAGAATGTGTAATAATTATGAAATTAAGACAAATGCGTAATTTATATTAAGTAGAAGTAAAATGAAGTTTGGAATAATAATAAATACTTTAAGAGCATTATGAATATGGATCAGTTAAATACTACTTATATAATTGTTTTTGTTTTTAAAGAGACAAAAACTGATATCGGAATCAATACGATATTTATTCCAACTGTTGTAATTATATAGTTGTATATGTTTACACATATATATAAATAAAATAAATGTACCTGTACACACACACACACACGCACACAAACACAAACACAGACAACACACACGGTTACAAATGTCTCAGTTTTTTTTTCTGATTAAGCATTGATTTTTATCAAGATCCCTGAATGTTTAAGTGGCATTTCCCTGACAATCTTTTCATTTAGTACACATTCACTACAACCATATCATCATCATTGTCATCATCTTAATATTAATCATAATCATCATCATCTTCATCATCATCGTCATCATCAAAATTGTTTGTGTTTCTCATTAACCGACGTTTGCGGTATTTGTCTGTGAGTGTGTGCCTATGTGTGTGTCTGTGTGTCTGTCTGCCTGTCTTTGTTCATTGCACTGTTTTATTCATCACCCAGTAAGTTGGCGCAAGTGAAATCTGGCAGTCTTGTAAAGATTGTCTGATGTTCAGTCATGCGTGAACGGATTAAAATGAAAATGGTACCTAAATGTACTGGGAGGATAACTCTATCAAGACATATCATTAAATCCCTAATTAAATATTCATACTTCAAACAATACAAATTTTAAAAAGTGGGACATTCTTTCTGACTCACCCTGTAGTGGTAAGAAGGAAGTTTTAAAAAAATTGCCTCTGGCAAAGTATACCTAGTCAGAACAAATTAATATTGGTTGTATTCCTTTATATAAAATGTTATAAGTAATTCAGTTTATTTGGCATCATACAAAACATTGCAAATCATAAATACAGAATAAATAAAAGGCCAGGACCTCCAGGAAGAAAATTGTGCTTGTATATGAGGCCCTATCAAGGTTAACACAATATAACATTAAGAAGCAAACAAAATAAAAACTTACTAGGTATACATACATACATGAAGAAGAAGAAAGAAAAAATAGACCGGCCATAAAATATCAGCACGTATCACTCATGATGCACACACCCACAGTCAAATACAAACACAGAAGAGCAAAACAAACACAAAGGGAGATTACAGAATGAGAAAGAGAAAAAAGGAAAATAGTGAGAAAGAGAAACAGAAGTAATGGAAGAGGTGAGAATGAGAAAGATAAGAAAAAGTCCACTAAGTCAAGCATGACATTGTTTTAAATATGTAACGTTTTAATAGAGTTCTAAAATGACAAAGTGTGGAGCTGGATTTAAGGTTATTACAATTTGAATTCCATTCAAGTACTCCTGTAAAACGGATAGAACGTGTGATATAATGGGAACACAAAGATTATCCCGTGTACGAATGTGATACGTATGGAATGAGGAATAACTTCTAAAACATAGTATCGAGAAATAATGGAAGAATATCTTTGTGATACATAAACATAAAAACTGACATATTAAATTCAAATAGTTCAAAGTTTGGGAGAATTTTGAATTTAACAATAGTTGTAGACTGAAATTACGAAAGTCACTTTTTTTTCTGTCGTAGTAGATATTATTCATCAATAAAGATTGGTGGGTTTAAAAAATCTGAGTTTTAATAAAACACACCCATGACTTCTATAAAGTTTAGAATATATATTTGTAATGTGATACTTTCAGTCAAGTTGACCATGAATTAGAATGCCTAAGGAAATTATTAAATCATTTTCTCTCAGTAACACTAACAGTATTTAAATGATAATCGGGTCAGTGTTGGATAAAAAAAATTCCTATTAGTCAGAGTGGAAAATTACATACTTTGTTTTATTAAAAGTCAATAATTGATTGTTACGTCTGGACCAGTCGTTTATTAAACATTTGTAATTAGGTGATCTGCCACGTAGCGTAGCAGAGTACCTATTGATTTTGTCAAAATCTATATATTTTCCTTTCATTCTGTATGGAATTTGTTCGCTTCATATCTCATAAATGACATGGTTAACGACAGTGTCAATAGCATTGTCATGACATGTGTCATATGCATGATTAATTTCACCCTTTTCAGTTTCTCTTCCTTTTTCTGTTTCTTTTTCTTCTCTTTTTTAGCCGTCGAAAGGGAGGGGGCAGGGTCTGGCTGTGCCCCTGCTTGAATCCGCGCCTGAATCCGTGTATGCAACCTAATTTTCAGCCGGGGCAAGCCTAGGACATCTCGGTTTTCTTTTTTCTTCCCAATTCTCTTTGTTTCCTTCTCAATTTTGCCAAATTTATGTTCCCATTTTGCCAGAAGTTTCTGAAGGGGGGATCCGCCCAGCCCCCCTAGCTGACGAAAAATCTGCATTTTTAAACTCAATTCACGGGATTTGGTACACTATAAAAAAAAAGTTTGACAGATGTTACTGGGTAAATTGAAGTCGGGCAAGTTTTGTCCGAAAATTGGGTTATTTCCTCCCAACCGTTTACTATATGAAGTTACCTAATCAAAGGTAATATATAGGTTGGGTAGGTGTTACTGGGAAAATCGATGTTGAGCAAATTAGAGTTGGGTCATTTTTGTCCAACTTTGGGGTTATTTTCTCTCAACCATTTTCTAAATGCATTTACCCATTTAAATGTTCAAAATAAGTTGGGCAGATGTAACTGGGCAAACGCAAGTCGGGCACCATTATTATTCAACAATAGGGTTATGTTTTTATATTAAAGGTGTCGTAGTCGAGTGGATATGTCAAAGGATTATGAGGTCCGTGGTTCGAGTCCCACCGCCGCACTGATCTCCTTGTGCATAAAATATTTTATCCAACTTATTTGCCCAACTAGTGTCTAACTTATGCTACACATTATGGTGAGAAATGGGTGAATTTATGAATGGGTAAATTTTTGTTGGTTAAAAGTTGGGTATTTTCTTTTTACACTTTTCTTTTACTGGGTAAATCATGCAAAATCTTAAATTTACCCAACAGTTGGTTGGACACATAATCGCACTCGTGTTGGGTAAAAATTGGGCAATTATTTGCCCAATATTTTTTAGAGTGTAAAACAAATTATTATTATATTGGCTTTATAAATTTTTTTTTTACAGTTAGCTTTATTATTTCCCTTCAGTTGAAGAACAAAATTGTGAAATTCTGTAGTTAATACTGGCATCACAATGAAGTTCAAACACATTTTTTTAACTTGAAATGCGATGTCTTTGCGGATTGTTGCAGAAAAAGTGATAAATCGGCAAGCAAAAAACAATGTACAGCGCATGTACCGTTGCGTTTCTAGTATAAATTCAGCTTAACGTTTGCAGGCAGAGGAAACTAATAGGCTTCACTAGAAACAATAGGTTCATTCATTAGTCATTAATTTAATAAGTTATATTGTCTTGAATTTTAGGTTAGGGTTCGGATAATATACCATATGTTTTGATGTCCTGTTAAAGTACCATTTCGGGCAATACATAGATATCCTGTTAATCCAACATGTAAGGTTATATATATATATATATATATGTATTTATATATATGTGATTCAGAAAAATTGTCCGTCACGGTAATATAGAAATAACAATTAAAACAGTTGATATAAAAGAATCCCAGAGATTTCAGTTCATTATTACCCGTTTCATTTTTATTTCGTCAGATAGTAAATTCAAAAACCTATAATGATTTGTACTATAGTTATATAGAACCGAACTACCTATGATATTTGTTAACCGTTTTAACCATATAGTTGTATATAAATATACATATATATTAGTAAGAGGTATACATAATTATATACGACTTTACATAAACACACGCACGCACACACGTACAGGCACTGGCACGTGCTCACTCGTCCACATGAAACACAATCGCAAATAAACATTCTTAATGAACCTAGGGAAATGAAAACAGGCCAAAAATTGTTCATGTCAGACAAGTTGCCCCGGGATGCGAGATAGGACTCTTAATCTCTACGTGGACTCCTCGCTACGAGTACTTGGGTCGGATGGGACCGAGGCCAATACTAGATCATGACTTACCAATGCAAATATAAAGAATGGGGCGGTATCCGTATGGAGACTTAACTTGGGTTGAAAATCCTGCCAAAAAGAACCTGATTATCGCTTTGGCATCAATCTCGCGTATGAAGCGAAACTGGAGACGCATACCGTTTATACACGCACAAACACGTACGTGCGTACATAAAAACGCGCCCACATATGATCTTTTAACGAGCGTGTACAGATAAACCCAAATACGCTTAAATATACAGTCAAACCTGTTTTAATGACCCCCCCCCCCCCTGTCTGTTTGCATAAAGAGCGTCATGAGTATGTATTTAGTATCGTTCAAGAAAATATGTTAATTTATCTGACTCCCATGCGTCACTTTAATTATACACATTTATGCACGACGCTATATGCCTACTCGCACAAAGTGAGAAAGTTTAGTTCACGGAAAGTTGGTGAGCATGGTTGAAATTACAAATAATATACGTGAATTTAGTAATTTATTTGGATAAATTGTAATAGTCTTCGTGACCTACGGAAATTTCTTTACATTCTGAAAAAGTTCTGACCAGATTTGTTGGGAAAATGCTGAAAACATTTTACTCTTAAAATTACACTTTGATTTTCATCGTCATGAAGTATTTTGATTGCGGTTTGTCGTCTGGTCACCCTGCTACCGGGTAGCCCGGGCTTCCGACAGGGCCACCCGGGGAAATTTCGCTGCTCATCGGCATCAAGATTTAACTGTCTAATCCGATTAAATTCAAAATTCGATCGTCACCGTGAATCGTATTTCTCAGTCATCGATTGCATTGATATATTGAAATATGTTTTTGTTCATATTTTCATACTCCAAGCTGATGAGTTCTTGTTGAAATCTTTGATTGATCTGGACCCACTTGGGGTACCAATGCCAGCCGTCTGCTCAGTTCAACAGTTGTATCATCGTGCGTGTCAACTTTAGACCAAATTTATCTCTGATCATTGATACGGCCAGTGGGGATTCTGGGGAGGAGGGGCCTCCCCTGATGGAGAAACAGAAACTTCTAGTTTCCCTTTCCTGGTGCTCGAGGGGGGGGGGGGGGGGGGGGGGGGGGGGGGGGGGGGGGGGGGGGGGGGGGGGCGCGGAGGGGTTGCGATTTTCAAAAAAAGGAGAAGAAATAGCGCTCCCCCCTCCCCCCCCCCCCCCCCCCCTACTGAGCGAATTAGCGACCGGTGCGCTTTTCAAATATTCGGGGGCAAACAAAACATATTGCACATCATGGTCATGATTTAGGGAATGCAATCCAAGACTTACTAAAATCATGTAAAACCCCCCCCCCCCAAAAAAAAAATAAAAAAAAATAAATAAAAATAAATAAATAAATAAAAAATTAATTCAATACGAAGAAAACATTTCTATCAGAGTACATTGTTTGATCTTTTTTATTTTTGTTTAATTAATATTCAATGTTATTTTTTCATATTCCTATCAAACATCGTTCTTTGTTTCCCTTCTTTCCATGTCCCTTTCACTCCTTTTACAGTATGTCTATTTGATTTTTGTATTGGTGCGTTCCCTTTAATTAGTGGAATACTTTTTTTGCAATTTTAAAGGAGACTGCAATCTACAAGCCCGGCTTTTCAGCAGTCCCCTCCACGACCAACCTGTTCTATATGCCTGTTGTACACTGTGGACCAATTACAAATATATTGTCAAGTTCCCATAGGAAAGAAATGAGCCTGCCGCATACTCCTGCGGCAGACTTGCCGCAGACAGTCATCTTTTTCACATGCAAATTAGTTTTGCCGCAGACTTGCCGCACCATCGCCGCAGACTCGTCATCATGGATATTCATAGAAAAAGCTATGACAAAGAGTCTGCTGCAAGCCTGCTGCAGACTCTTCATCATGAATATTCATATCCCATATAGACCTGCTGCAGACCTGCCGCATTCTCTTTCATATCCACCCCAGTGAACGTGGCAATTAAGTATACCGTCTTGCAGGAAGGCTATGCTGGAGAGCCATGTATTGCATCATTACATTATAACACCTTGAATTAGTAGAAACAGGCGGAATTGCTTCAAAAATTCTACAAATGTTGGTTTAACACAATGCAGAAATAGAGGTAGAGGTATATGAATACAATAACTGCATACACATATTCCAGAGTAGAGTCACAAATCCATGTGCTGTGCACACATTACACAAGAGTTACAACAAAAAAGTGAGTTAGTGGGGCTGAAGATAGGATCACATATGGCACAACATAAACGTTTGAACAGTCCGTTAATTCCTCAGTCTCCTCTTATCCTCCAAAATGGCCGCCTCTAGCCTTGCTGCGGACTGTATAATTTCCCACTTTTCTGTGGCAGATCTGCCGCAGACTGCTCCTGTGGCATACTGGTATGCCGCGAGTTTGGAGCAAAGTTTCATTCTGCCGCAGACTGTTCCTGCGGCATACTTGTATGCGGCGAGTCTGGATCAAAGATTCATTCTGCCGCAGATCTGCCGCAGACTTTTCCTGCGGCATACTGGTATGCGGCAAGTCTGGAGCAAAGTTTCATCCTGCCGCAGATCTGCCGCAGATTGTTCCTGTGGCATACTGGTATGCGGCAATTCTGCAGCTAAATTTCTTTCTGCCGCATACTTCGGCAAACTCTTTGCCGCAGATCTGCTGCAGCAGGTCTGCCCCATACTTTTTATTTTCCTATGGGTTTCATTGTTTAACTTAGAACAATGCAATCCCATGTAATTTAATTATTTTGTTGGAAATAGAAATAAACGAAATAAAAATAAATATTTTTGTTATTACAAAAGTTTATACAATAGCAACACAAAATTTGAAATTTGTCAGACATGCTGTAGCATCACCAGGAAGACAAAGGCAGTAATGGTGGATTGTACATGTATGAAAGCATGCAATTAAGCGTGTGCTGACCTGGGGAAAATTACATACCATTGTCTATTATACAAGCCGACTGTTTAGTCTGACATGTCTAACATAGCAATACGTATATTGTTATTGTTTGTTGTATTGTAACAGATAGTGAATTTCGGCAAAGTTACATACCACTTTCTCAAGTTAGCTCATTGATGACTGACATATAATGTCACAAGAGGAATGAGATCTGGAGGCTTTTTAGGGTGGAACTTAGCAAGTTCGAAAGAAGAAGAAGAAGAAAAAAAATCATTTAAACGCATTCAGAAGTTTACATAACAAAGCAGGCATATCCGGACACCTCCCCCCCCTCCCCCCTCTGGACATCCACCCCCGGATAACCACCCCCAGTCAAGTACACCCTAGGACAACCACCCTCTAGGACAACTACCCCCAGGATAATTACCCCGGAAATCTACCCCCAGACTACTACCCCCTAGGACAACTACCCCCCGACAACTACCCCCTTCGACAACCATCCTCTAGGTCAACTACCCCCGAGTGTAGTTGTTTAGGGGGTAGTTGCCAGGTAATAGTTATCCTAGGGGGTAGTTGTCCAGGGGGAGTTTTCCTGGGGGTAGTTGTCCTAGGGTAGTTGTCTGGGGGTAGTTATCCGGGGATATTCGTCCTAGAGGGTAGTTGCCCTAGGGGGTAGTTGTCCTAGGGGTAGTTGACTGGGGGTGGTTATCCGGGGTGGATGTCCAAGGGGTAGGTGTCCTGGAACCGTTAGCAGGACTACACACCATAGGAATACATGCCTCACACATGCACTCGCACACATCTGCAAGAATCTTCAACAGTGATGGAGGCAGATTATTTTGAAGAAGAAGAAGAAGAAGAAGAAGAAGAAGAATCAACTTGTATTTGGTTGGATGGCAGGGGCCCTTTAACAGGAAAATGTTCAGAGCGAACTTTTGACGTAACGCCAATTTCCTTCCCGTCGCTACACAGGGGAATTTCCATAACCTTATTGTATGTCCCATCGAAATCATGTTTGGAATAAGTAATGCGTGATTGTCATCTTCGCACGTTTCAATAGATGACGCACAGACGTAGTGGATGTAGTGCGCCCTGAGCGGTAGCCACAAATCTCTGCTCTGTGTTCTGTGACGTGCTTGTGTGTGTATATACAAGATTGGGTTCCATGCACTTTTATAGCACTGTGAACAAGAAAATAACATGTAAATTGCACCATTTCAGTAATGAATCATCTTCATTTAGTGCCAGCCCAATCTTGGAATAGTATCGATATACATAGCTACTTACATCATTGTCCACAGGTTATGCTTTAGATTAACGAACCCCCTACACACACACACACACACACACACACCTTCGTTCTCTTCTTCCACTCCCCCTCCACTCCCCCTCTCTCCACGCCCCTCCATGACCTCCATGATCTAATGTTACAAATTTTCTCTCTTTCTCCCCCTCTTCCCTCCCATCTCTCTCTGAGTGTCTACCCCTCTCTATCCCCCTCCCTCTCTCTTTCTCTGTCAGTATCTCCCCTCCCACTCTCTCCTTATGCCATTCCATTATCAATTGGTCACTTGATTTTTAGAACACAGTCAAACCTGAATATAAAAACCGATCAATGGAGAGTGACCAATATATAGAGGTGGTCTGTAAGTGCAGACACAAATGACTTGGTACATGCGATCCTACAATATTCAGTGATCGTTGTGTAGCTCCCTCTCAAAGTGGAGATATTAATTAAGCTATGAAACAATGTTTCTTGACTAAAATCGAGCGATTAGCTATTCCCGTTTGGAAATTATATATCACAACTACATATTCTGTAATTTTCATTGTCGCAGCTACCATTGTACGGCTGTATAAGGCTCTCTTTGAAATTGATCAACAGTTTACGGGCACCGGTGAATTTGTATATTCAATTTTTTTCTAAAGCGAAAGTGTTTTAGGGACTAAATGTTCTAATAAATCCACAGGGGCATTTAAATACATGTATATCAAAATTGTAAAGAATCCCTAAATCCACCCAATTTTCAAAATTTCCAAAAGAATTGTATTACGTTCAACTTCCATTTCTGAGCATGATCTTACTACTAAAAATGTGTCATGAATTGCCTTCTTTGCATTGAGTGATAGCAATAAAAATGCCTCATGACCTCATTATGCAGACTGTATCAATATTGTCTCAAAAACTGACTTTCGACTGTGTATCAAGCACTAAA